GACACCCCTGATCTAGAGCATCCTGACTGGTTGCATCACTGCCTGGTATGGCAACTGCTCGGCCTCCGACTGCAAGGCACTACAGAGGGTAGTGTGTATGGCCCAGTACATCACTGGGGCCAAGCTTCCTGCCATCCAGGACCTCTATACCAGGCGGTGTCAGAGGAAGGCTCTAAAAAGTGTCATAGACTCCAGCCACCTTAGTCATAGACTGTTCTCTATGCTACCGCACGGCAAGCAGTACCGGAGTGCCAAGTCTAGGTCCAAGAGGCTTCTTAACAGCTTCTACCCCCAAGCCATAAGACTCATGAACAGTTAATCATGGCTACCCGGACTGTTTATTATCTATGCATAGTGAATTTAACTCTACCCACATATACTTCACAACACAAAATAATCTGAAACACAACCAAAACAAACAGCAAATGTATCCAACAAATTTGTAGAGTCACAAGCTTGATGTAGTCATTTCGTGCTATGAATGTTGGACCATATACTTTTGCTCCCCTAAAATGGGGGGACTATGTACAAAAAATGCTCTAATTTCTGAACAGTTCACCCGTTATGGATGAAAATACACGCAAATTCAAGTTAACAATCTGCACTTTAACCACATAGTCATTTTGAAGTATTGAGCCAAAATAATAACAAATGCTTCACTGTCCCAATAATTATGGAGGGCACTGAATTCACTGCAGTATTAAGGCTAACATTGAGTTTATGAATTATGGGCTAATATGCATATGCTTCTAACTTAGGCTATAGGCTACATCTCGAGTCTGTCTTAATTGTTCTGTTGCTCAATTACGCACCTGTCCTCTCTGCTGCCACGGCTATTCCTTTTAAATCTTGTGGAGTCCCAGGAAAAGTCAGACTAAAATAACTTGTTGGTGTCACGTTCGTGATATGCATTCATATTTATTTATGTACTGAACACACGACAAAACAACAAACGAAACGTGAAGTCCAAGGTAGACAAATAACATACCTCACACGGAACAAGATCCCACAACAGACTGGTGCCAAAAGGCTGCCTAAGTATGGTCCCCAATCAGAGACAACGAGCTACAGCTGCCCCTGATTGGGAACCACACCGGCCAACATAGATCTAAACGATCTAGAACTAAACATAGAAAAACAACATAGAAACTACACACCCTGACTCAACATTTGAGAGTCCCCAGAGCTAGGGCGTGACAGTACCCCCCCCCCAAAGGTGCGGACTCCGACCGCGCAACCTAAACACAACAGGGTAGGGGCCGGGTGGGCATTCCGCCTCGGAGGCAGATCCGGCTCCGGGCGTGACCACCACCTACTCTCCACCTCCCCGTTGCGCCCCTGGTCTGGTCTGGACCTCGGCGCGCTGACTGGAGCTGGACCCGACGACGGTGGATCGAACTGCTCTGGCTCCGGGGTGGAGCCGCTGACCGGTGCCGGACCAGGCACCGGTGGAACAGGCACGGGCCGTGCCGGACTGGACAAACGCACCACTGGCTTGGTGCGGGGAGCAGGAACGGGCCGGACCTGGCTGATGACGCGCACCCCTGGCTTGGTGCGGGGAGCAGGAACGGGCCGGACTGCGCTGACGACGCGCACCACTGGCCTGGTGCGGGGAGCAGGAACGGGCCGGACTGGGCTGACGACGCGCACCACTGGCTTGGTGCGGGGAGCAGGAACGGGCCGGACTGGGCTGATGACGCGCACCACTGGCTTGGTGTGGGAAGCAGGAACGGGCCGGACTGGGCTGACGACGCGCACCACTGGCTTGGTGCGGGGAGCAGGAACAGGCCGGGCCGGGCTGGCGACGCGCACCACTGGCTTGGTGCGGGGAGCAGGAACGGGCCGGACTGGGCTGACGACGCGCACCACTGGCTTGGTGCGGGGAGCAGGAACGGGCCGGACTGGGCTGACGACGCGCACCACTGGCTTGGTGCGGGGAGCAGGAACAGGCCGGGCCGGGCTGGCGACGCGAACCACTGGCTTGGTGCGAGGGACAGGAACAGGCCGGACCGGGCTGGCGATGCGCACCACTGGCTTGATGCGAGGAGCAGGAACGGGCCGAACCGTACTGGGAACACCCACCACTGGCTTAGTGCGGGAATCAGGAACGGACCGGACCGGACTGGCGACACGCACCACTTGATTGGTGCGAGGAGCGGGACTGGGTTCCTTCATTAACCCCCGCTCCTTCTGCTGCCTAACCAGCTCCTCTTGCCGTGCCTCTACACTTTCCTTCTGTTCCCTCTGAACCAATGACCCCCTTAACCTGGCGGCCTCCTCTGCTAAACGGCTGAACCGCTCTATCGCGGCCTCCTGCTGCCTCGTCGTCCACGGCGTGAGCCCCCCCCTAAAAATGTATTGGGCTTGTCTCTCCCCCGTGATCATGGCCTCCATCCCTCTTGCCAGACTCTCGCTCATCTCCTCCCAAGTCCATCCTCTCTCCTCGTCACGCTGCTTGATCCAGGCTTGGTGGGATCTTCTGTCACGTTCGTTACTGAACGAGAAGGACCAAGGCGCAGCGTGATATGCATTCATATTTATTTACGTACTGAACACACGACAAAACAACAAACGAAACGTGAAGTCCAAGGTAGACAAATAACATACCTCACACGGAACAAGATCCCACAACAGACTGGTGCCAAAAGGCTGCCTAAGTATGGTCCCCAATCAGAGACAACGAGCTACAGCTGCCCCTGATTGGGAACCACACCGGCCAACATAGATCTAAACGATCTAGAACTAAACATAGAAAAACAACATAGAAACTACACACCCTGACTCAACATTTGAGAGTCCCCAGAGCCAGGGCGTGACAGTTGGACACTTATTTAGACTTGTTTTCTGTAGCCTATTGTAGCCTTTTGAAGGAGAGATGCATGCTTGCTCTTGCTTGCTGAATGTAAAATAGGGTACAGCATTAACGGGCGGGGAGTTGGAGAAGCCCATATTTTCCGATAGTAGGCCTATCTTAACACCGGGCTACATCCTGACAAAATAGGCCTACACCATATGAGTGGCCTGCTAATGTACCTTTCTGGACCTGCTAAATCTAAACTATCGAGAATGGACCCAAACTGATCCAAATGGTTACATAATCAGGCCTAGGTTGTTGGCCTATGCAGTTATTTAGGCATGAAACAAAACAGGACGCATGAGCGGTTATTCAAATTAGCACTGCACTATGTAGAATAATTGTGTATTCACTTGATAACAATAATACATTCTTCATTGCACTGTGTTGTTGTAGCCCAGGTATAATAATTTTCTTGTCTAAATACGTAGGCCTGATCAATAGTGGAGCTTTGTGAGCCTGAGGACCACAGAGCACAGCGTTGAGAAACGCACTACAGATCTACCATTTCATAACGTGTTAATTTATTTGACAGGTAAATATTTAGCAAACATTCCTAATATTTAGCTAATGAATGGCCTAATATCTAGCTAATACTTAGCTTCTTACTTCGGCTACACATCACTAGCCACTCTTCCAGCTGTTCCCGTTCGCAACAGGCTATAGGCTACGCATGCCTCTCCGCAATGGGCCATTCCTATAGGCTGCAAAAGCTATAGGACATTTATTTTGATAATTGTTTATACTAGGCCTAATAGCCTATTTGGGGAAAGAAGCAGGCTTGCTCTTGCTAATTGCTGAATCTAAAACAGGCCTACAGCATAGAAAATGTATGTCGGGGAAAGTTGAGGAGAGAAAATGCATTGGTGTGATCACTTTTGGCCGGTTATGATAACATTGTTGCACTGATGTATTGCAAATAGTTGCACAGGACATACACAGATGAGCACAGTCAAAAAGAAGACCCAAAGGCATTGACAACCATTAGCAAAATGGAAATCACTTGCAAACCACTTGAGCAAGGAGGCAATGACATACTGTAAAAGATTAGTAGCCTACATTGAAGTATTATTTGTAGTTGTCACTGACAATGAACATACCCTGAAAGCACTGAATGGTCTGAACCAGTATCTGTGCGTTAGAGACCTCATGAATGGTCTTGTGTCACCACCTAATTAATAGGCAGCGTGCAGTAGGATGCGTTGATCAGTTGATTGACAGGTGTAGGACTGTAGAACGATAAACTATCAATTTTACTCTAGTATGGATGCTCACCAACGTTTTATAGTTATGTAGCCTATAGTTTATCATTATAGTTTTGGTTATAGTTATTGGCTTGGATGGCCGGGCCTTAACACAACTAACGTTTTTATCACAACAGAACTAGCCTAGGCTACTAATAGGTATAGCTAACGTTACCGAACTTGAATGAAATAAATATAAAATTACACTTATACTTGTTTACTTGACATTTATACTCTATAAATGGACTCTTTTAAATAATTTACTCTGGCAAGTTTGCCACCAGCGCGCTGCAGTAGGTAAGTCAAGCGGAAGTCGAATCCATCACTTCCGTTGTTTGGCTGTGCCCATGTAGCAACGTTCGAAAATGAGGCACATATGTTCTGGTGGAAGGATTAAATAAAGCAAATTTACTCATTACAACAACATCTTTAATGAAAACAAGTCCTTAATCTTTTTTTTTTTATGTTGGCAACCATTTTATAAAAGCAAAATGACCCTTGAACCCGGGGATTATTGTGTGATAACTTCCTCCTAAAGGCTGTTCCTGGCCCGGGTTCTCATGGTTTATTGCTTAAATAGTCAACAGTGACTTCATTTTTTTTGTCTTTCAAACTTATATAATATTAAGTGGTACAGTATCTATATGAGTGGATGCTGCTGAGGGGAGGACGGCTCATAATAATGGCTTGAATGGAGCGAATGGAATGGCATCAAACACATGGAAACCATGTTTGATGTATTTGATACCATTCCACTTATTCCGCTCTAATCATTACCACGAGCCCGTTCTCCCCAATTAAGATGCCACCAACCTCCTGTGATCTATATGAGTAGTTAAACATTGAACATTAATTCATATTTAAATTAAAAGAGACACTCCATCATCCCTCTGATCTCACAGATCTTCCCCAGCCTAGTCTAACAGTGATTCCTGCAGTCATCAAAGAGAGAGACTCAGTTCAGATGAACTGTCAGACTGCTCCATCTGTCTCTGAGTGTTACTTCAAAATAGAGGGGCAAGTGGAATTTACCCTACCATCACCCTGTCAACAGACACTCACAGGAACACTACTGTTGAGGTGGACAGGTCAGAGTTCACCAGCTGAGGTCAAAATACAATGTCAGTACAATGATACAGGTTCACAGTTTAGATCCATATACAGTGAGCCTTCTACAGTCACAATTCAGGGTAAGAAGATTGTTTTTAATGGTTGTAAACTATTTACTGTTGTGCCATGATTACCATGTTCCTCTTGGGATATTTTATCATGCTGTTTGTTGTAATAAGCTATTACATGAAGTAATCAAGCAATATATGATATCTCCTTAATTTCCCATAATGTCGCTACATGAGATAATTGACTCAAGATCCTTAAGTCTAAAATAACAAGGAGGGATTAGGCTGTCAGTAAATTTCTCAAAACCACAAAATGCTAAATGCTTAATTCCCCTATTCTCACAGACCATCCTCAGCTGACAGTGAATTCTACAGTCATCAGAGAGAGAGAATCAGTTCAGCTGAGTTGTGAGACTCCTCCATCTCTCTATGTGTCTCACTGTTACTTCTACATAGAGGGGGTGAAGAATCTTCCAGACTCATCGTGTACGCAGACAATAACAGGAACTGAGCTGCTCAAGAGGGCGGAATCAACAATTCCAGCTGTGGTCAAAGTGAAATGTTACTACGCTATAGGGAAGTCTCACATATCTCCTTTCAGTGACCCTGTCTCAGTCACTGTTCAGGGTAAGTAGGTGGTTTGTAAAATTATACACTTCACTGTTATACTGTATGCTCATTATGCTTGTTCAGAAAATTAGATCTTATCTCATGTTTCACCAATGTCTTCATTTCACTTAATAGGTCTTACTGTAGGTTTTACTGTACTATGCAAACATAGATACTGATGTAGTTAAAAATGAAGAGTTCGACAGTATTTATAGATTTTACATACTGTTAGTATGTATGGATTACCTGTAATGTTTTTAAATGCAACAATCAAAGAAGCACACTCTATTCTTCTGATCTCACAGACCCACCTCCTCCCAGGCTGACAGTCAGTTCTACAGTAATCAGAGAAAGAGACTCAGTTCAGCTGAGCTGTGAGACTCCTCCATCTGTCTCTGTGTCTCCCAAACTAACACAGCAGTTCCGATCGGTGGCCAATGTTCATTCAGGTCTTTCTGAGCAGGGTTCGTTTGTTCGGTTCTACCCGAGCAGGGTTCGTTCGGCTCTACCTGAGCAGGGTTCGTCTCTTCCTCCCGAGCAGGGATCGTAAGTCGATGGCTGGTTTGGTAGTCGATGGTTGGTCTGGTAGTCGATGGCTGGTCTGGTAGTCGATGGCTGGTCTGGTAGTCGATGGCTGGTCTGGTAGTCGATGGCTGGTCTGGTAGTCGATGGCTGGTCTGGTAGTCGATGGCTGGTCTGGTAGTCGATGGCTGGTCTGGTAGTCGATGGCTGGTCTGGTAGTCGATGGCTGGTCTGGTAGTCGATGGCTGGTCTGGTAGTCGATGGCTGGTCTGGTAGTCGATGGCTGGTCTGGTAGTCGATGGCTGGTCTGGTAGTCGATGGCTGGTTCGGTGTTCAACGGCAGATCGCCTACTGTCCCTCGCTCTGCACCAGCCCAGCTGCATGGTAGAGTTGGGTTTAGCCTATCACAGCAGCGTCGGGCGTGTCTCCAGTGTCTGTAGTCGTGGGAGACACAAAACATACAATTAGAGCATGTACTGGCCAACAATTGGGGTCACAGTCACACGTTTGAAACAAGCACTTTCCTTTAGTAGTGCTATAGAGAGCGTTGTGATTTGTGTCTTTCCCACAGCAGGGGACCAGCGGAGAGGAGCAGTGAGTCGGTCGAGAGGTCACTGGTCCAGTTCCTTTTAACTCTAGTTCTGGGGCGTGTTTAGTAATTAGTTTGGGGACGGAGGAGTTGATAGAGAATTGGCATCAGCTGTCTCAATGTCACTTTAGTCCATGCTAATCTGTGAAATCACAGGACACCATACAAGCAGGCAAAATAGTCCATGCGATTCCATTTGATTTCACACGGAAGAATGTAAGGAATTAAGTGAAAGGCAATCGTTGTAAACACACAGCACACATGATTAAATGGCACTCATAAATATGCATGATATCAAATAAGACATGCTGATACGTAATATAAAGAGATTGGTAGGCTCTAGTTTAGTAAGAGTCAGTGTCACTTGTGATATATACATTACATTCAAATAGAGTAATGCAAAAAGGAGTCTCTGTCCTTTCCTAACAGATCCAAAACCAGACATTACAGTCCATTTTGATGGGTACATCAACATCATCTGTTTGATTCCTGGATCTGTGAGTCCTGACACCACCTGTAACCTGTATGTTGGAGAGGAGAGTCAGCCATCCTTCACAGCAAAGATCAAGAAGACAAAAGCACCCTCTGCATCCTATCAGTGGTTCTGTCAATTCATTGTTAATGAGAGTGATCTGATCAGACATCTACAGTCAGTGAGGCGTAAGGAGGTGAGCTGTGACTATAGAGTGAGCTCAGGACCAAACTCTCTCTCTCCACACAGTGATGGGTACAGATTTACAGGTGAGTGATTAAATATACAAATCTATCAGTGCTGCAGGTCTTCATAATCTGACTCACTTTGATTTTAGCATCTTCTTAGTATTACTATATTCATTCTGACCCACAAACTAAATACCACATTTCAATCCCAAAAATGTTTTTAGATCTGGTGGGAGTTCACATTAGTGATCCAACAATTATACAGACACCTTCTATAGCAGGTAGGCTACACATTTGTTATTTTATAGTGGCACTGCTGTTATTTTAAAACATAGTGGGTTTCAGCAATAAGAATAGTTGTGTAAATGTTTAAATTAAGCTGTTCTGTTAGATAATTAAGCTGTTCTATAGATAGGACACCAGCCTCAACACTAATGCCTGGGATCATCAGCACAAGTAATATCATATCTGTGTTCATCTAGTCGAGTGTTTAGATTGTATCTATGCACTGTTATGCTTCTGTTGTTAGATAACATGGTGATCTTATTCTAGGAAGCTGACAACAACATTTAACACCTTATCTGTCCTGAAAGACTTGATCACTTTATGAATTGGTCTTATCATCTCTATAATGAGGAGAAATATAATCTACCTGGAATAGAAGCAATCTGTCCGTAGTGATTTTTATAGTCCTACTTTGCCCACTTTGAAAGTCATAAAGATATTTCAAAAGTCCAACAACAACATAATGATTATTAATATGATCATGAAGAAAATGCTAATTGTATTATTATGTCTTCTCAGTGGGTTTGACTCCAGGTCCTAGATCTACTTTGCCAGCCACCACGACAGTGAGTCCTACAGAAGGTGTGTTGGTCCTCTAAATCACCATCTCTGCAAATACCAATAGTACAGTCAATGGTTTAGATTACGGGCCTGTAAAATTAAGTGACCAAAGAGTTAATGTAATACTGTATTCTTGTGTAATCATATTGCTTCCGACTAGTTTCAACTGTTACTTCTACTTTGACCCCAGACACCACAGTGAGACCAACTACCAGTAAGTAGGCCCACTAAGTTTAACTTAGTTTGCAATTACAATATTTTTGTTCACATTAATTCACTAAAGCTCCAACCTGTTTACTAATAGACCTATTCATAGCTGCTTGTAATTTCAGTCCAGATTTGTGTACTTTTAGTCCATCTGATTTGTAGGTAATGTGTAGTGTACTTCTCTTTTCTGCTTATTGAATGACCTCAGATATTAAATGAATTTACATTTGTTTTTGTGTAATATGAGTCATCTCTTCTCACCAGGTTTGACCTCCCCTTTGACCCCCAGCACGGCATTGAATCCTATAACAGGTCTCTTAGTCATCTTTATCTAGTTAGCAAATAAAAGTAAAACAAATAGAGAAAGCTTCATATTCTCTAGGTTTTTGTACGTGTTTTTCCCATCACAAATTTGCCTCATTACAAAAAGAGGTTGATATTTGATTGAATAAAACCCATTTCGATGTATTTGTGTATAATCCGATTCAATGATTTGGTTTGCATCAGGGTCGACTGTTTGTTGTACCTTGACCACTGACACCCCAGCGAGTCCAACGGAAAGTAAGTATAGCCAATAGGTTTAATTTAATTTGCAAAATATTTTTGTTTACTAAAGCATAAACCAGTTTTGCAAATATAGCCAAATGTAAATTCAGTCAAGGGTTTAGTATTAATCAAACAATTTGTCTCATTATAGAAATATGTACATAACTCTGTTATTAAACTGTCTTTCTCTCTTGCATGTGCCCAGGAGGTCAAAGCTCCACAGAAAGTGATGTGGAATCAAACAGTCAAGAAAGCATTCTGGGTAAGTATCCTTTTCTAGCTGTCTTTTCTCACACATATGAAAACAGAAGAACAATGTGGTCTCAGAAGAACAATGTGGTCTCCAAGAGCTAATGACTTCTCCCGATGTCATCATGTCACTAAATAGTGGCACAATTATGGCAGGCAGCAGTGGGTGTGGCTTCTGGAGTGGGCGTGTTCCTTGTAGGATTGACAGCTGTCTGTCTCTGCAGGAGGACCAGTGAGTACATTCGATTCTGCATAACAAATCATTTGCAAATTTACCACTCTGACATTAATGTAAGTACCTTTGGCATTATTGATTTTGTATAGGGTAGGCTATATTCAATATAATTAATTTAGCCTAATTTGTTTTTCAGAGAAAAACTATTCTCAGAGGTAAGAATTCCCCTTGTTTGGGATATTGTATGATGCAGATTCTATCAACCTTTAGTTCTGTATTGTCCATGATGAGATGTTCTTACCACAACCTTCTTATACTTGTATTTTGTATAGACCTACAGCCAGACAGGATGATCACAGCCAATGTATGTTCCAAACAAAATACATCAAACACTGCACACACTACTAACACAACTACACACATACATGTACAAACACTCATTCAATTTTCATTGTGTTTCTGTTGTAGATGATTTGGTGTCTATGGGAGTGGTGAGCAGTGGAGGCATGGTGAGTATTCTAGACATTACAGTGGTATCTATGTACATATACCCCTCTGACAGAGGAGACTGGTGGGAGGAGTTATGGGAGGACGGGCTCATTGTAATGGCTGGAATGGAATCAATGGAACGGAGTCAAACAAATCAAATACATGGAACCCACGTGTTTGACTCCATTCCATTGCAGCCATTACAATGAGCCCGTCCACCTATAACTCCTCCCACCAGCCTCCTCTGCCCTCTGACTGTCTGATCTGAGGTTCAAGACCTTAATGTTACATTAGTAGTGCTTCAACATATGAATGTTCAAAGTATCGAACCAACAGCTATATTTATTTACAGATTTATATGGTAATTTATATTTATTACCAAATAAGATGTTTTCACCTGAAATAATTTCCTAATACATTAATTAATGTAAACCTTGTAAATTTGTTCCTAAGTAGGTACAGAGTTCAGTCGTACAGTGAGGGAAAAAAGTATTTGATCCCCTGCTGATTTTGTATGTTTGCCCACTGACAAGGAAATGATCAGTCTATAATTTTAATGGTAGGTTTATTTGAACAGTAAGAGACAGAATAACAACAAAAAAATCCAGAAAAACGCATGTCAAAAATGTTATAAATTGATTGCATTTTAATGAGGGAAATAAGTATTTGACCCCCTCTCAATCAGAAAGATTTCTGGCTCCCAGGTGTCTTTTATACAGGTAACGAGCTGAGATTAGGAGCACACTCTTAAAGGGAGTGCTCCTAATCTCAGCTTGTTACCTGTATAAAAGACATCTGTCCACAGAAGCAATCAATCAATCAGATTCCAAACTCTCCACCATGGCCAAGACCAAAGAGCTCTCCAAGGATGTCAGGGACAAGATTGTAGACCTACACAAGGCTGGAATGGGCTACAAGACCATCGCCAAGCAGCTTGGTAAGAAGGTGACAACAGTTGGTGTGATTATTCGCAAATGGAAGAAACACAAAAGAACTGTCAATCTCCCTCGGTCTGGGGCTCCATGCAAGATCTCACCTCGTGGAGTTGCAATGTTCATGAGAACGGCAACGAATCAGCCCAGAACTACACGGGAGGATCTTGTCAATGATCTCACGGCAGCTGGGACCATAGTCACCAAGAAAACAATTGGTAACACACTACGCCGTGAAGGACTGAAATCCTGCAGCGCCCGCAAGGTCCCCCTGCTCAAGAAAGCACATATACAAACCTCCCGAGTGGCGCAGTGGTCTAAGGCACTGCATCGCAGTGCTAGCTGTGCCACTAGAGATCCTGGTTCGAATCCAGGCTCTGTTGTAGCTGGCCGCGACCGGGAGATTGTTGTCCAGGGTAGGGGAGGGAATGGCCGGCAGGGATGTAGCTCAGTTGGTAGAGCATGGTGTTTGCAACGCCAGGGTTGTGGGTTCGATTACCACAGGGGGCCAGTATGAAAAAATTAAATAAAATTAATAATAATAATGTATGTATTCACTAACTGTAAGTCGCTCTGGATAAGAGCGTCTGCTAAATGACTAAAATGTAAATGTAATACATGCCCGTCTGAAGTTTGCCAATGAACATCTGAATGATTCAGAGGAGAACTGGGTGAAAGTGTTGTGGTCAGATGAGACCAAAATGGAGCTCTTTGGCATCAACTCAACTTGCCGTGTTTGGAGGAGGAGGACCCCAAGAACACCTTCCCCACCGTCAAACATGGAGGTGGAAACATTATGCTTTGGGGGTGTTTTTCTGCTAAGGGGACAGGATAACTTCACCACATCAAAGGGACGATGGACGGGGCCATGTACCGTCAAATCTTGGGTGAGAACCTCCTTCCTTTAGCATTGAAAATTGGTCGTGGATGGGTATTCCAGCATTACAATGACCCAAAACACACGGCCAAGGCAACAAAGGAGTGGCTCAAGAAGAAGCACATTAAGGTCCTGGAGTGGCCTAGCCTGTCTCTAGACCTTAATCCCGTAGAAAATCTGTTGAGGGAGCTGAAGGTTCGAGTTGCCAAACGTCAGCCTCGAAACCTTTATGACTTGGAGAAGATCTGCAAAGAGGAGTGGGACAAAATCCCTCCTGAGATGTGTGCAAACCTGGTGGCCAACTACAAGAAACGTCTGACCTCTGTGATTGCCAACAAGGGTTTTGCCACCAAGTACTAAGTCATGTTTTGCAGAGGGGTCAAATACTTATTCCCCTCATTAAAATGCAAATCAATTTATAACATTTTTGACATGCGTTTTTCTGGATTTTTTTGTTGTTATTCTGTCTCTCACTGTTCAAATAAACCTACCATTAAAATTATAGACTGATAATTTCTTTGTCAGTGGGCAAATGTACAAAATCAGCAGGGGATCAAATACTTTTTTCCCTCACTGTATAAACTATGTTTGATCAAATAACCTACATCTTGCATTGGATATGGGTTGACCTCAAAATGACAAAACCCACAAACACTTCCTGTGATACAAAGGAGGGTGCAGTTCATGTTACGAGTTAGAGAGTAGAATAGACAGAGTTTGTTAGACTGGAGCATAAAAAGTATCTCTCTCTCTTTTCTCTTGTCTTTTTCTCCCTCTCTCTCTACTACAGGTGGATTCAGGAGATGCTGGAATCTATTGCCTGATCACTTCTGTACAGTCCACGTTCATGCCCTCAGGTTTGTCCCTCAGAACTCAGGACCATCTGCAAGTACACAGCTACTGTACATGTTTAGTCAGCATTTTAAACTGTGGGCCTAACCATATCAACCATATCAACAAGCATATATGGCACTTAAAACAGAAATGAATGTGTCAGAGCATCTGTGGAGCGTGAGAATAGAGCTGTAGATCTGCAGGGTGGTTTGAACCATGAGGAGAAGTGTGAAATGACATCAAGCCCTGTTACTTGCACTTCTTCTGTTTTGCTGTTACTAACGCAAAAGGGCAACTCGACTAAGTAACACACATGCAAGGTGCACATGCAATATACAAATGATCCCCCCCCAAACACACACTCATACATACACTACTGGTCGAAAGTTTTAGAACACCCACTCATTAAAGGGTTTTTCTTTAATTTTACGATTTTCTACATTGTAGAATAATAGTGAAGACATCAAAACTATGAAATAACACATATGGAATCATGTAGTAACCAAAAAACTGTTAAACAAATCAAAATATATTTTATATTTGAGATTCTTCAAATAGCCACCCTTTGCCTTGATGACAGCTTTGCACACGCTTGGCATTCTCTCAACCAGCTTCATGAGGTAGTCACTTGGAATGCATTTCAATCAACAGGTGTGCCTTCTTAAAAGTTAATTTGTGGAATTGATTTCCTTCTTAATGCGTTTGAGCCAATCAGTTGTGTTGTGACAAGGTAGGTGGGTATACAGAAGATAGCCCTATTTGGTAAAAGACCAAGTCCATATTATGGCAAGAACAGCTCAAATAAGCAAAGAGAAACGACAGTCCATCATTACTTTAAGACATGAAGGTCAGTCAATATGGAACATTTCAAAAACTTTGAAAGTTTCTTCAAGTGCAGTCGCACAAACCATAAAGCGCTATGATGAAACTGTCTCTAATGAGGACCACCACAGGAATACCCAGAGTTACTTCTGCTGCACTGGATAAGTTCATTAGCGTTATCAGCCTCAGAAATTGCAGCCCAAATAAATGCTTCACAGAGTTCAAATAACAGACACATCTCAACATCAACTGTTCAGAGGAGACTGTGTGAATCAGGCCTTCATGGTACAATTGCTGCAAAGAAACCACTACTAAAGGACACCAATAAGAAGAAGAGACTTTCTTGGGCCAAGAAACACGACTATCATTTCTTTTTCAACAGAACAATGACCCAACACACCTCCAGGCTGTGTAAGGTCTATTTTACCAAGAAGGAGAGTGATGGAGTGCTGCATCAGATGACCTGGCCTCCACAATCCCCCGACCTCAACCAAATTGAGATGGTCTGGGATGAGTCGTACCGCAGAGTGAAGGAAAAGCAGCCAACAAGTGCTCAGCATACAGTGAGGGAAAAAAGTATTTGATCCCCTGCTGATTTTGTACGTTTGCCCTCTGACAAAGAAATGATCAGTCTATAGATTTAATGGTAGGTTTATTTGAACAGTGAGAGACAGAATAACAACAAAAAAATCCAGAAAAACGCATGTCAAAAATGTTATAAATTGATTTGCATTTTAATGAAGGAAATAAGTATTTGACCCCCTCTCAATAAGAAAGATTTCTGGCTCGCAGGTGTCTTTTATACAGGTAACGAGCTGAGATTAGGAGCACACTCTTAAAGGGAGTGCTCCTAATCTCAGCTTGTTACCTGTATAAAAGACACAAGTCCACAGAAGCAATCAATCAATCAGATTCCAAACTCTCCACTATGGCCAAGACCAAAGAGCTCTCCAAGGATGTCAGGGATAAGATTGTAGACCTACACAAGGCTGGAATGGGCTACAAGACCATCGCCAAGCAGCTTGGTGAGAAGGTGACAACAGTTGGTGCGATTATTCGCAAATGGAAGAATCACAAAATAACTGTCAATCTCCCTCGGCCTGGGGCTCCATGCAAGATCTCACCTCGTGGAGTTGCAATGATCATGAGAACGGTGAGGAATCAGCCCAGAACTACACAGGAGGATCTTGTCAATGATCTCAAGGCAGCTGGGACCATAGTCACCAAGAAAACAATTGGTAACACACTACGCCGTGAAGGACTGAAATCCTGCAGCGCCCGCAAGGTCCCCCTGCTCAAGAAAGCACATGTACATGCCCGTCTGGAGTTTGCCAATGAACATCTGAATGATTCAGAGGAGAACTGGGTGAAAGTGTTGTGGTCAGATGAGACCAAAATCGAGGTCTTTGGCATCAACTCAACTCGCCGTGTTTGGAGGAGGCGGAATGCTGCCTATGACCCCAAGAACACCATCCCCACCGTCAAACATGGAGGTGGAAACATTATGCTTTGGGGGAGTTTTTCTGCTAAGGGGACAGGACAACTTCACCGCATCAAAGGGACGATGGACGGGGCCATGTACCATCAAATCTTGGGTGAGAACCTCCTTCCCTCAGCCATGCCATTGAAAATGGGTCGTGGATGGGTATTCCAGCATGTCAATGACCCAAAACACATGGCCAAGGCAACAAAGGAGTGGCTCAAAAAGAAGCACATTAAGGTCCTGGAGTGGCCTAGCCAGTCTCCAGACCTTAATCCCATAGAATATCTGTGGAGGGAGCTGAAGGTTCGAGTTGCCAAACGTCAGCCTCGAAACCTTAATGACTTGGAGAAGATCTGCAAAGAGGAGTGGGACAAAATCCCTCCTGAGATGTGTGCAAACCTGGTGGCCAACTTCAAGAAACGTCTGACCTCTGTGATTGCCAACAAGGGTTTTGCCACCAAGTACTAAGTCATGTTTTGCAGAGGGGTCAAATACTTATTTCCCTCATTAAAATGCAAATTGATAACATTTTTTACATGCGTTTTTCTGGATTTATTTGTTGTTATTCTGTCTCTCACTGTTCAAATATACCTACCATTAAAATTATAGACTGGTCATGTCTTTGTCAGTGGGCAAACGTACAAAATCAGCAGGGGATCAAATACTTTTTTCCCTCACTGTATGTGGGAACTCCTTCAAGACTGTTGGAAAAGCATTCCAGGTGAAGCTGGTTGAGAGAATGCAAAGAGTGTGCAAAGCTGTCATCAAGGCAAAGGGTGGCTATTTGAAGAATCTCAAATATAAAATATATTTTGATTTGTTTAACACAATTTTTTGGTTACTACATGATTCCAGGTGTTATTTCATAGTTTTGATGTCTTCACTATTATTCTACAATGTAGAAAATAGTAAAAATAAAGAAAAACCCTTTAATGAGTAGGTGTTCTAAAACCTTTGACTGGTAGTGTACATACACAACCTCTTACTCATGGAATTGTCTCTCTCTGTGATATGCAGGTCCCATTGATGTGGATACACAGCCATTTGCAAAGGAAGATGTAAGTACAGCACAAATAATTGCATGAAGTATAGTTATATCGGTTGTCCTACTAATTGTATTTTATTATATTGTTATATTATTATTATTATATATAGTATTGTTTTCACAGACAGACTAAGTAGAGGATAAAATTCTCTCTCTCTCTCTCTCTCTCTCTCTCTCTCTCTCTCTCTCTCTCTCTCTCTCTCTCTCTCTCTCTCTCTCTCTCTCTCTCTCTCTCTCTCTCTCTCTCTCTCTCTCTCTCTCACTGTGTTTTATGACTTTCAATTTAAGATTGGCATTACATCCTCATAAAATACTCCTTATGAATTACATTTACAGTACTGTAGATTCGAAGCACTAAAGTAAATCTGTTTATTTTCTCTAGTCTGATACGTACCATGTATACAACTCAATCCCCGACAGACCAGCAACCTCAGCCCAGCCGGATGGGTTTTACAGTCTGCAGACACACTGAAACTACACCACTGGCTTTCTGTAGATATATCTCACACATCTCACATAAATACCTTTTTCTCACAAGATATCCTTTGTTTATTACACATCCAATTATTGTAAATAAGTCACTTAGCAGGTAATATATTGACTGTATTATACGTGGACAACTGGCTTCTGTTACATGTCTATCCATAATATCTGTTACTGTGTTAATATTGGAGGGGTCCGGGGCAAACTCCCCTTTGAGCATCTTTCTTATTTCTTCCCCCTAATAAATGCTAAATCTACTGTATTTGTGTCTATTATGTCACCTGTGTGATACCTCCTTCCATAACGGTTTATACAATTAATTTCCTATTGGGCAAAACACAATCCAAAACACAACCAAAACAAACCGCAAATGCATCCAACAAGTTTGTTGAGTCACAAGCTTGATGTATTTATTGCGTGAAAGGAATGTGGGAACAAAATACTAAATGTTTGGCTACTTTAATACACTATAAAGGAATTTGTCCAAATACTTATGACTTCTTCAAATGGGGGGACTATATACATAAAGTGCTTTTATTTCTAAATGGTAAGACATACAGTGCCTTCAGAAAGTATTCACATGCCTTGACCTTTTCCACATTTTGTTGTGTTACAGCCTGAATTTAAAATTGATTACATTTAGATTTTTGTCACTGGCCTACACACAATACCCCATAATGTCAAAGTGGAATTATGTAAAAAAATTAATTTAAAGAGTCAATAAGTATTCAACCCCTTTGTTATGGAAAGCCTAAATATGTTCAGGAGTAAAAACTTGCTGAACAAGTCACAAAATAAGTTGCATGGACTCACTCTGTGTTCAATAATAGTGTTTAACATGATTTGTTTAATGACTACCTCATCTCTGTACCCCACACATACAATTATCTGTAAGGTCGGTCAGTCGAGCAGTGAAATTCAAACACAGATTTAACCACAAAGACCAGGAAGGTTGTCTAATGCCTCACAAAGAAGGGCACTTATTGGTAGATGAAAAAAAATGAAAAAAAAGTAGACATTGAATATCCCTTTGAGCATGTTGAAGTTATTAATTACAGTTTGGATGTTGTATCAATACACCCAGTCACTACAAAGATACAGGCGTCCTTCCTAACTTAGTTGCCGGAGAGGAAGAAACCCGCTCAGAGATTTCACCATGGGCCAATGGTGACTTTAAAACAGTTACAGAGTTTAATGGCTGTGATAGGAGAAAACTGAGGATGGATCAACAACATTGTAGTTAATCCACAATACTAACCTAAATGACAGAGTGAAAAGAAGGAAGCCTGTATCTGTTTGCAACAAGGTACTAAAGTAATGCTGCAAAACATTTGGCAAAGCAATTCACTTTTTGTCCTGAATACAAAATGTTATGTTTGGGGACAGGTGTCTTTTATACTGATAACAAGTTCAAACAGGTGCCATTAATACAGGTAACGAGTGGAGGACAGAGGAGCCTCTTAAAGAAGAAGTTACAGGTCTGTGAGAGCCAGAAATCTTGCTTGTTTGTAGGTGACCAAATACTTATTTTCCACCATAATTTGCAAATAAATTCATAAAAAATCCTACAATGTGATTTTCTGGATTTTTTTTCCTCAATTTGTCTGTCATAGTTGACTTGTACCTATGATGAAAATTACAGGCCTCTCTCATCTTTTCAAGTGGGAGAACTTGCACAATTGATGGCTGACTAAATACTTTTTTCCCCCACTGTAACATTAGCTGATACCGTATCCATATGACATTATGAATTCAAAAGGAATTCATATAAGTAAATTACGTATACAATACAGTGCTGAAGGTCGGCAGTTTAAATCCGTATACAGTGACCCTACATCTGTCCAAATTCAGGTTAATTTTTTTATTCTATAGCTGTAAACACTGCAAACACTGTACTGCTCAATTGGTTATCATATTGTCTTTTGTGAAGAGCCATTGCATGAATCAATATATTATATCTCCTTTATTTCCCATACTATCGCTGGGAATTATTCTCAAAACTGTCACGCCCTGGCTCTGGGGACACTGTTATAATAATAAATAATAATATGCCATTTAGCTGACGCTTTTATCCAAAGCGACTTACAGTCATGCGTGCATACATTTTTTTTTTTTTGTGTATGGGTGGTCCCGGGGATCGAACCCACTACCATGGCGTTACAAGCGCCGTGCTCTACCAGCTGAGCTACAGAGGACCATGTTGAGCCAGGGTGTGTAGATCTATGTTCCCTATTTCTATGTTGGCCTGAGTGACTCCCAATCAGAGGCAACGAGTGTCAGCTGTTTGCTGGTTGTCTCTGATTGGGAGCCATATTTAAACTGTCGGTTTTTCCTTTGTTTTTGTGGGTTCTTGTTTCGAGTTGGTTGTGTTATACCGTGTACTGTCACGTTTCCGTCTTTTGTTGTTTTGATATCGTTTCGCTTAATAAAATATGAGTATGTTTGCCTGCAACGCTGCGCCTTGGTCTACTCCTTACCATGACGATCGTGACAGAAGAACCCACCAAAACTGGACCAAGCAGCGTGAAGAGGAGAGAGGAAGGACCTGGGATCAGTGGAGTAGGAGTTTCGACTGGGCCCCGCTAAGTGAAGAGAAGAGAGGCTGGTCTATGGAGCAATGGATTAAGAGTCTCGACTGGGCCAAGCCAAGTGAAGAGCAGAGAGGTTGGACTTTGAAGCAGTGGAGTGAGAGTCTTGCGAGAACTAGGGAGGCCTGGTCCACGGGGAGGAGAGAACCCCAGAAAAAATTTAGGGGGGGGCTCACGACGTGGACGACGGGGCAGCAGGATGCCGCGATGGAGCGGTCCAGCGGGTGTGCAGAGGAGGCCGCCAGGTTAAGGGGGCCACTGGTCACAGAGGAGAGGGAAAGTGTGGAGGCACGGCGAGAGGTACTGGGGTGTGTTACCAGTCCGGTCCGGCCCGTTCCTGATCCCTGCGTAGGGCCAGTGGTGTGTGTCCCCAGTACGGTCCGGCCTGTTCCTGTTCCTCGCATCGAGCCTGTGGTGCGTGTCGTCAGCCCGGCCCGGCCTGTTCCTGCTCCCCGCACCAAAGCTATGGTGCGCGTCGCCAGCCCGGTCCAGCCCGTTCCTGCTCCCCGCACCAAGTCTGGGGTGCGTTTCGTCAGCCCTGTCCGGCCCGTTCCTGCTCTCCGCACCAAGTCTGTGGTGCGCGTCGCCAGCCCGGTCCGGCCTGTTCCTGCTCCCCGCACCAAGCCAATGGAGCGCATCGCCAGCCCGGCCCGGCCTGTTCCTGCTCCCCGCACCAAACCTGTGGTGCGTTTCGTCAGCCCTGTCCGGCCCGTTCCTGCTCTCCGCACCAAGTCTGTGGTGCGCGTCGCCAGCCCGGTCCGGCCTGTTCCTGCTCCCCGCACCAAGTCTGTGGTGCGCGTCGCCAGCCCGGTCCGGCCCGTTCCTGCTCTACGCATCAAGTCTGTGGTGCGCGTCGCCAGCCCAGTCCGGCCCATTCATGCTCCACACACCAAGCCAGGGGTGCGTATCGTCAGCCCGGTCCGGCCAGTTGCTACTCCACGCACCAAGCCAGGGGTGCGCATCGTCAGCCCGGTCCGGTCCATTCCTGCTCCACGCACCAAGCCAGGGGTGTGTATCGTCAGCCCGGTCCGGCCAGTTGCTACTCCACGCACCAAGCCAGGGGTGCGCATCGTCAGCCCGGGCCGGTCCGTTCCTGTTCCACGCACCAAGCCAGGGGTGCGTGTCGTCAGTCCGGCTCCGGCCAGCGGGGCCAGACCGGACCAGGGGTACTTTGGGGGGTTGGAGAGGAAGTGGGGATCGGGCCCAGAGCCGGATCCGCCGCCAAGGCGGAGTGCCCACCCGGTCCCTCCCCTGTGGTATGTAGTTGGCTCGGTCGGAGTCCGCGCCTTTAGGGGGGGGTACTGTCACGCCCTGGCTCTGGGGACACTGTTATGTTGAGCCAGGGTGTGTAGATCTATGTTCCCTATTTCTATGTTGGCCTGAGTGCCTCCCAATCAGAGGCAACGAGTGTCAGCTGTTTGCTGGTTGTCTCTGATTGGGAGCCATATTTAAACTGTCGGTTTTTCCTTTGTTTTTGTGGGTTCTTGTTTCGAGTTGGTTGTGTTATACCGTGTACTGTCACGTTTCCGTCTTTTGTTGTTTTGATATCGTTTCGCTTAATAAAATATGAGTATGTTTGCCTGCAACGCTGCGCCTTGGTCTACTCCTTACCCTGACGATCGTGACAAAAACCTTGGGTCTGAAAAAACAAAGTGTGATTATTTTATGTTCAACGGCTGACAGTACAGTTCCCAAACCAGTCACAAAATGCTCAGTTCCTCTGTTCTCTCAGACCTTCCTCAGCCCAGTCTGAAATATTTTTTATATATGTTGTAATAAGCTATTACTTAAAACAATAGATTATTTATTTCACATACTATCATTATATGAAGCAATGGACCTTATTATCAAAATCCTTTAGTCTCAATAAACATGAAGATAAGTGTTAAATGTTGATAGATTTACTTGATTTTATAATAGACATACATATTTAAATCTAATTGAATGGTTGTCAGTACATTTCTCAAAACCAGTCAAAAAATGTGACATTCTTCTCTTTTCTGATCTTACAGGCCCTCCTCTTCCCAGGTTGACAGTGAGTCTTGCAGTCATCAGAGAGAGAGACTCAGTTCAGCTGAGCTGTGAGACTCCATCCGTCTATGTGTCTCAGTGTTTCTCTTCACTGAGAATGGAGACTCTAAACCATCCTGTCGGCAGACACTCACAGGGACTGAGCTCCTCTCGTGGTCAGATCAGCGTTCACCTGCTGTGGTCAAAGTGAGATGTTACTACTACGCTGCAGGGAGTTCTTCCCCATCCTCTCACAGTGACCCTGTCTCAGTCACTGTCCAAGGTAAGCAGGTTGTTTACATAATTGTAAACATGACCCTCCTTTAAAATCGTACCATATTATGAGATACAATCTGCAACAATACACTAACCTGCAACAATATTATTTTGATTTCAAAGACTTATGTTTCATGAAATGATTTACTGTCTTTTTACAATTGAGAAGTAATTTGAAGTGAGGAATCATGTTCTTGAAATGCTCAGGTCTGTTACACATGATGATTTTATGTACATAGTAATCTGTTAAATATTAAATTGACATACTATTTTCTTTGCTTGAGCACATCTAGCACACGAGATGGATCATCTGACTTCCAGCATCCACGAGAGGCGTCTTCTGGCCTTCTTCAGCAATGGGAGGCACCAGCAGCGTCTCCTTCAGTGGGAGGGAGGTCAACGGGAGCCCAACTTTCTAGGGGAGCACGACCAGTGCGAGACCGGAAGCCACAAGCGTGGTCCAAAGTTACCACATGGTTTCGGAGTTACTCAGGGACGGTCTTTTCCACCCAGGATGTGGGATAGTGTGGTGAAGCTGTAGGACAGATGGTAAGGGAAGATGTCACTCAATCATGAACTAATTGCTCGCACCTGTGCCTGCTTACAAGACTCTGCCCGGAACTCTGAGAAACTGATATAAGGCAGAGCCGAGAGTGTAGGCAGGTCTTGGCAGGGGAGCTGTGCTTTGATGAACGTTGGGCTTGTAGCCTTTGCAAGTATCCGCATTGCACTCACCTTAACAGGGGAAGGTTTTGGCCAGTTTTCCTTAACCGTTCGGACAAGTAAAAAATCAGTCTTACTTGTCTGAAGGACAAGTGGCAGAAAAAGTTAATGTCAAACCCTGTAGATAATTCCACCATGGGCAACTGGCTATAAGAACTGAGCCGATGGACAAGGGGCAATGAAATGTGGTATGTAAACCTTATGTCCTTAAAAGCTATGTGAATATAAAGTCACTGCAACCTTAGATGGCTGCACCAGACCAGTTAGTGGCACTATAGATCTCATCGGCACCAGTGCCACCATAGGATACTAGAGCAATAATTATTGGTCAAGTGGACTTTGTCTCATGTAAATGAATGTTAGATTTAAATTATGTCAAATACTGTGATTAGTATATCTGTGTAATCACATATCGTTGCCCGTATTATGTTGTCTGAACGTAGCGAAAAGTGGTCATTTTATTTTGTAAAATTCTGTCCTGCCACTTGCACAGTCAGCATATTACAGCTGTGAGAGTGTGCTGAAGTATTTTGGAATGCTAATGTGAAGTGTATCAACTGAAATTTAAATCAATATGGTTATGCTTTCACTGATTGCACATAAAGGAAGATAGTTCCTACATTACAGAATGCTTGCTTTGTTATCCAACTTATCTTGTGTCTTTTCTGTCATCCTGTGAACCCCGTTCATTGCTGCTCGCAGGTATATTTTTTCAGTCTAATGTCAATAAGGTTTTCCCCTTGGAATATTGTTCTGTTTCTCTTGAACAATGTCTTCTAATTCGTTATTTCTCTGCTGGTCAGGGAGATGCTTTATAGTTGGGCAGTCTCTCTATTGGTAATAAGCAACTCAGTTAGTTATGAGCAAGTTCTTCTTGTTGGCGAGGCTCCCTGTGCGTTGTCATCATTTGATGGTGTGCCAGTCTATCAATCTCTCCAGTGTTGGGTCCAGGACGGTGGGCCTCGAGGGCGGTGTGGTCACCTGCTAATGAGAGTGGCCAGTAGGGGGAGCAGTGCTGCTGTGAGGGGGGCAGATAGGCCTGCTGCTCTTCCACACTCCATGGCATTCTCCTGCATCAGACACAGGGGGCATCACAGGAGTTTCAGACCTTAGAAATTAATTAATACATACACTATATATCTATATGGTTCAGACAATATACAGATGGTCACATATATGCTTAATGTCACATTATTAAACACTCAGAAACAGGCATTCATGTACTTTTTGTGTAATCACAGAATTGTGACGCAGACGCACACACACATCTACATACTGCGTACCTCGGGATGGAAAGGATGACACGATTCTGGCCGCTTTCTGTCCTTCTGAAACTTCAGCCTATCACATTTCAGAGAGTCATTGTGTGCAGAGGGGTTAAGGATAGAAATACTGATGAAGCAAACCTCAGATACCTCAGATACATTTAACTGACACTGTGGTGACTGTTTCTGCAACATCATTCTAGCATGATGAGAAAACAAAACCGTAACGCACGCTTCATAAATACCTACATGTATGAGAAATGTATTAATACCTCTGACAATGAAAAAGGTTGTTCACGTTCTCAGAAAACAAAAGTCTGAGTTCAGAGTTCACTTACTGTTAACTTACAAAACCCATCTACTAAACATTTACTTACAAAATATTTATACTAAAAAATACACAAAAGCTTTGTACTAAAAATACACAAACTCCTCAAACTTATTGAGGCTTAGTAAAGGATATACATAATCTCGATGGGATCCATGGAAACCAGGGGGGCAGAGCTGCAGTCACACTTGTTCTCCACGACGACCATGTAGAGGTTACTACTAGGAATTTGCTGAATTACAAAAGATCTGAGGAGGGAGAGAGAGACAGAATGGAAGACAGAAAGAGAGAGACAAAAAGCGAGAGAGAGAGAAATAAAGAGAGAGTTGTGTTGATTCAGTTGATGCTTTTAATATTACTACACTAATGCATGAAATTACCCTGTATAGTGTATACACCATCAACACACAGGCTAAGTGAGTTTATCGGTGCCTAATACACAGGTAAGGTAACTGTGTTACCAGTACCTGGCACAGCCCTCACAGTCGATGTTTCCCGTGGTCTCTTTGATGGTGCGCTCAGAGACGAAGGCAGGGTACTCCGTGTCACATGGCACCATCATGGTCTTTCCCCTCGATCTTTGGGCTGGAAATTAGATATGTAAATCTTAACATACTAAAAACACGCAAGACTCACACACACACATGCATGTGTGCAAGCACCCACAGACATAGACACGCACGCACCTACAGACAAACCTCAAGGTATGTTCTTGCACACACTGACCTTTGACTGAGAGATCAACATGCCACCAGCTATAAAGGTTGAACTCCAGCAGGAAACGGATGAGGATAAAACAAACATACATTTATACAATAATGTGTACTGTGGTTGATAATCAATGCATCTCATTATTTTATCGTATCAAGGTGATTCTTTTATTATTCTCACATGACAAATTCGGTCAGGAGCCATTTCACAATGGAGAAGGGCTGGGAGAGAAGAAATTAAATAATTAGCATTGACTGGATGTATGTAAGTCTGATGAGTAGTTTTGGGACATGTGATAATATTTAGGGGCCATACTTACATGTGATACTATTTAGGGGCAGTGCTTACATGTGATACTATTTAGGGGCAGTACTTACATGTGATACTATTTAGGGGCAATACTTACATGTGATACTATTTAGGGGCAGTACTTACATGTGATACTATTTAGGGGCAGTACCTACATGTGATAATATTTAGGGACAGTGCTTACATGTGATACTATTTAGGGGCAGTACTTACATGTGATGCTATTTAGGGGCAGTACTTACATGTGATACTATTTAGGGGCAGTACTTACATGTGATACTATTTAGGGGCAGTACTTACATGTGATACTATTTAGGGGCAATACTTACATGTGATACTATTTAGGGGCAGTGCTTACATGTGATACTATTTAGGGGCAGTACTTACATGTGATAATATTTAGGGACAGTGCTTACATGTGATAATATTTAGGGGCAGTACTTACATGTGATAATATTTAGGGACAGTGCTTACATGTGATAATATTTAGGGACAGTGCTTACATGGGATAATATTTAGGGACAGTGCTTACATGTGATAATATTTAGGGGCAGTACCTACATGTGATACTATTTAGGGGCAATACTTACATGTGATAGTATTTACATTTACGTCATTTAGCAGACACTCTTATCCAAAGCGACTTACAGTTAGTGAGTGCATAAAAAAAATTCATACTGGCCCCCCGTGGGAATCGAACCCACAACCCTGGCGTTGCAAGCGCTATGCTCTACCAACTGAGCTACACCGGACCTATTTAGGGGCAGTACTTACATGTGATACAATTTAGGGGCAGTACTTACCTGTGATAATATTTAGGGGCAGTACTTACATGTGATAATATTTAGGGGCAGTATTTACATGTGATACTATTTAGGGGCAGTGCTTACATGTGATAAAGAGCGGGCGCTGTCACTGCTGCCAGCATACTCTCTACAGAGAGCCTGGTAGTCATACAGAGTGATCCTAGAGAGAGGAGACAATAGACCATTCTCAGTGTGTGTGTGTGTGTGTGTTCAGGGTACGACTGTAACAGGATTTCTCCTCTAACCTTTTGAAGGAGCCCATGAGAAGCAGCTTGTTCATAACAGCACCCTCCACCTCTCCAAAGAACAGCCCCGTCTGAGGAAGAAGATGTTTATTTAAAGGCAAATACTAGGAGCCAGGGGAGCTACGGGACACATATACACACACACACACACACACACACACACACACACACACACACACACACACACACACACACACACACACACACACACACGTGTCTATTATATTATTAATGGTACCTGAGAGTAGTCCTCTGTGACCAGAATAAATCCGTTGTTGTCTATAAGGTAACACTTGATGTCCTGTTAGAAATACAGATCAATCTTCAAGGCATGACATAATTTAGTAATTCAATACTGAGAGGAAACAGAGAAAGGTCACAGACAGTACAGACAGGAAGTAGAAAAGCTGAGACACAGACCAGAGGCTAAGAAACAGGAAGTAGCATGAGAGACAGACAGACAGGTAGTCTCTGGTCTTACCTCATTATCACAGCTGATGGTGCACTTCCCATCCAGAGCAGCACACTGGATCGAATCAATAAGATGAATCAATTATTAGAATAATCAACAAAGCATGTCTCACAGCACTGGATATTGTTTATGTGTGTGTGTGTGTGTGTGTGTGTGTGTGTGTGTGTGTGTTTGTGTGTGTTTGTCTACCTGTCTGCTAGCGGTCCAGAACTTCCTCTGAAAGAAATCCAGCTTCATCTGAATCCCAACGGCTATAGTGGGTTTAACAAAAACACAAACAGAACACAGTCAGCACACTGTAGGTCTAGAAGAGGAGTTTCTTCACATGTCTTCAAAGGGGGCTTTATATAGAAAACATTACAGTTACAAGCCTGTAACAGGTACAGTAGCTCTCTATGTTAGGGGCATTATACACTATTCTAGGGAGACTTCTAGGGAGAAGTTAAGGTTTTTTCAGGGAGCTTACAAGCAACAATAGGCGACTTCCTGTCATCCAGCAGCTGTATGGCGGTGCTGGCCAAAACCACACTCTTATTCTTATTTCCTGGAGAAAAACAGGAACACAGAGCACAGACATTAGCCTCAATCAACAAATGTTGTGTAAGGAAAATAACAATTTCTACTATTTCAATAGATCTTATAAAATACACTATATATTCCATTCCACCCTCAGCACCTCCGCATAATCACAGCAGGAAAACCAAGTCACAGAAATAAAAGAGAAAACACCTTTTCTAACCAAAAGATGGCGCCATACCAACAGCAGGCAATCGCAACCCACAGTACTACACTCAGTGATGGAATTCCATCAGTACGCTACAACCAGGATGTTTGAAATTATTCTGACACAGAGAGAGTGATGTGTTCTGTGGAAAAAACAGTTCTGGTAATAGCACTACAGACCCTCTGGGGACAGGGATTGTTGGAGGAGGTTATAGTATTAAACAGCGGAGGTGGGAGTAAAGGAGGGACATTAAACAACAGACTAAGAGATAAGAGCAGTTAGAGGAAGGTAGAGGCTGGTAGACAACAGGGAACAACAGTATGATCCTGATCCTCTCCTTCCCTCAGTGGGAAGAAAGTGGGGCACATTAATTACATTAATTACAGTGAGAGAGATGAGCTATACAGTACACCCTAGCCTCTTCGCTCAGTGAGAGTTGTACACATTAATCTGGTCTCCCGTCACTGCAGGCGACATCCCATACCCTGAAAACATATTTACCAGCCCTCTGATTGACCTATTTCCGGGAAACTTTTCCCGTCACAAGGCAAATCTATAATACCTTACCGATCGGTACGGCCTATACAATGTGTGAACTATGGTAAAAGTAAACGTTGAAATAATTTTTTTACAAAGGTCACTCCCTAGTCGCCATACTCTGTAGTAGTTGCCATGCAAGATTACTGTGTGATCTCAGATGTCAATGAACCTTTGGCTTTAGGGTGATATGGTGTGAATTCGGTAAACTCTGGAAAAGTTGGATTTAAACGTTTATTTTCACAGAGTGTATAGTCCGTACAAACTGGTAAGGCATTCCGGATTATAGATTTGCCTTCGGTGACAGGAAAAGTTGATCGGAAATAGATAAACCAGAGGGCTGGTAAATATGTTTTAGGGGTACGGGATGTCGCCTTCAGCGACGGGAGACCAGATTAATGTGTGCAGGTCTCCCGGAGCGAAGAGGCTGAGTACACCCCCATGATAAACCTATCAGAGACACAGACACAGAATCTCCATGATAAACCTATCAGAGACACACCGAATCTCCACGGTAACCCACAGAGATACAGTACACAGGGTTAACTAAAGAGATCTATTGAGTGGGGTGTGGGGAAAATAAGCTGCAGATGAAACTCAATTACAAGTTAGGGAGAGTGAGCTACTGTATATTAGAGAAACTGTATATTGATTAAAGTAAAATGAAGTAGTATTTCAAAGACAACATAATACAAATACAGTGCAAGTAAATTATGAACGTGTAACACCTTGTGTTGGGTGTGGGGATTCTGGATATAGAGTAAAGGTACATTTTGTGTAAGTGTCTCCATACCTCCAAATGGGATAGAGTAGACGAAGGTGCCGGGAACCTGCTCCGCTGCTCTCTTGCACCACAGAGGGAAGTGGTCAGCGTTGAACACCCCCTCCTTATCCTCCGCCATCAGGAAGTCTCTGCTTTTCAGTTTAGGACTAGGCCACAGGAGGTTGGTGGCACCTTAATTGGGGAGAACGGGCTTGTGGTATTGGCTAGAGCGGAATAGGTGGAATGGTATCAAATACATAAACACAAGGTTTCCATGTGTTTGATGCCATTCCATTTGCCCCGTTCCAGACATTATTATGAGCCGTCCTCCCCTCAGCAGCCTCCACTGGACTAGGCGTTATCTATGTCTGGGAAATGGGCCCACAGAGACACATGGCACTGAACCAGCCATCATGTCAACTTTCAGAAGGACATCAGAGAATTTATTAAGATAAACGGATAAATCAATAAATGTGCTGAAAAAAGAAAGAAGCGTGTGTACCCTACTCTCAAAGCATCTCCCCTCACCTGAAGGGAGTTCCCTTGACTTCAGTGTAGAAGTAGTCATTGTGCATCTTCAGGAGTCTTTTCTGAAAACATGGAGAATGAGGACTAATCCAGTGGATCTCATTAAAAGTCAATGTCCGCGCCCCTGAGGAAATATAATTAGCATAATATAAACATCCCCATTAAAAATCTGTCTGATTAAGCTAGAGATTTCTGTTTTGCATCGACTGCGTCTCAATCCACCGCATCCGCCGATGTCGGCCTTCCGAATCTGCGGTGGAAGGTGGCAGAGCTACAGAGGTGTTTGTCACGAAAATGTCTGTAGCGTCCGAACGGTTTGGCCTACAAACTCTAAGGAAAGATGAGATTCTCACAAACACGATGGTGTTCTCCGTTTTGCTCTACGACCCCCACAAGTGTCAGTCGGTACCACCGATCTGCCAACTTCTGTCTGTAGCGTCTGAACAGTTTAGCCTACACACTAATACAGGGTTTTCCAAACTGCTGATTCAAATAATTAACTAATCATCATGCTTTGATAATTTGAATCAGCTGTGTAGTGTTAGGGAAAAAAACAAAACGTGCACCCTTTGAGGTCCCGAGGACCGAGTTTGGGAAACTCTGCACTATGACCTCACCATCGAAAGGTGAGACTCTCACGAACACGTATATGTTGTTTGTTTTGCTCTAGGACACCCACCCCACAAGCCTCACAAGCCTCGTCTTAAGGTAGCCCGGTACCAATTTAAAAAAAAATGGAAGTACAGTTGAAGTCGGAAATGTACATACACTTAAGTTGGAGTCATTAAAACTAGTTTTTCAACAACTCCACACATTTCTTGTTAACAAACTATAGTTTTGGCAAGTCGGTTAGGACATCTACTTTGTGCAAGACACAAATAATTTTTCCAACAATTGTTTACAGACAGATTATTACTTATAATTCACTGAATCACAATTCCAGTGGGTCAGAAGTTTACATACACTAAAAATATACTCTACATACACTAAGTTGACTGTTCCTTTAAACAGCTTGGAAAATTCCAGAAAATGATGTCATGGCTTTAGAAGCTTCTGATAGGCTAATTGACATAATTTGAGTCAATTGGAGGTGTACCTGTGGATGTATTTCAAGGCCTATCTTCAAACTCAGTGCCTCTTTGCTTGACATCATGGGAAAATCTAAAGAAATCAGCCAAGGATTCAGAAAACTAATTGTAGACCTCCACTAGTCTGGTTCATCCTTGGGGGCAATTTCCAAATGCCTGAAGGTACCACGTTCATCTGTACAAACAATAGAACGCAAGTATAAACACCATAGGACCACGCAGCCGTCATACCGCTCAGGAAAGAGACGCGTTCTGTCTCCTAGAGATGAATGTACTTTGGTGCGAAAAGTGCAAATCAATCCCAGAACAACAGCAAAGGACCTTGTGAAGATAATGGAGGAAACAGGTACAAAAGTATTTATATCCACAGTAAAACAAGTCCTATATTGACAGAACCTGAAAGGCCGCTCAGCAAGGAAGAAGCCACTGCTCCAAAACCACCATAAAAAAGCCAGACTACGGTTTGCAACTGCACATGGGGACTTTTTGGAGAAATGTCCTCTGGTCTGATGAAACAAAAATAGAACTGTTTGGCCATAATGACCATCGTTATGTTTGGAGGAAAAAGGGGGTTGCTTGCAAGCCGAAGAACACCATCCCAACCGTGAAGCACGGGGGTGGCAGCATCATTCTGTGGGGGTGCTTTGCTGCAGGAGGGACTGGTGCACTTCACAAAATAGATGGCATCATGAGGAAGGAAAATTATGTGGATATATTGAAGCAACATCTCAAGACATCAGTCAGGAAGTTAAAGCTTGGTCACAAATGGGTCTTCCAAATGGACAATGGACCCAAGCATACTTCCAAAGTTGTGGCAAAATGGCTTAAGGACAACAAAGTCAAGGTATTGGAGTGGCCATCACAAAGCCCTGACCTCAATCCTATAGAACATTTGTGGGCAGAACTGAAAAAGCATGTGCGAGCAAGGAGGCCTACAAACCTGACTCCGTCACACTAGCTCTGTCAGGAGGATTGGGCCAAAATTCACCCAACTTATTGTGGGAAGCTTCTGGAAGACTACCCGATACATTTGACCCAAGTTAAACAATTTAAAGGCAATGCTACCAAATACTAATTGAGTGTATGTAAACTTCTGACCCACTGTGAATGTGATGAAAGAAATAAAAGCTGAAATAAATCATTCTCTCTACTATTATTCTAACATTTCACATTTATAAAATAAAGTGGTGATCCTAACTGATTTAAGACAGGGAATTTTTACTAGGATTAAATGTCAGGAATTGTGAAAAACTGAGTTTAAATGTATTTGGCAAAGGTGTATGTAAACTTCCGACTTCAACTGTATGTATATATATATATATATGTATGTATGCGTATATATATGTGTGTGTGTATATGTATATATGTGTATATACGTGTGTGTGTATATTTAAAATATGTTCTACGATAGGGTCTAGCTGTGTTTTGTGCTGAAGCGAGTTGGTGACGTTCCAAACTGTTTAACCATGTCCCCCCCCCCCATGTAGGAGGCTCTGGAGGTGTGCCAGACACGTATCTCCAAGATGGAGCTGCAGCAGCAACAGCAGCAGGTGGTCCAGCTAGAGGGCCTAGAGAACGCCACGGCCCGGACCCTGCTGGGCAAGCTCATCAACGTGCTGCTAGCCGTCATGGCCGTGCTCCTGGTGTTCGTCTCCACCGTGGCCAACTGCGTGGTGCCCCTGATGAAGACGCGCAGCCGCACCTTCTCCACACTGCTCTTCGTCGTCCTCCTCGCCTTCCTGTGGAGGAACTGGGAGGTCATCTCGCAGTACCTGGATCGCTTCCTGCTGTCCCCGAGTTGACCTACGGGGGGGCTTTCTTAATAAATGACGAGGGGAGGCGACCTAGGGGTGGGGCTCCCGGAACATTGAGGGACGGAGAGGCGGGGCCTGGTGTGAGGGGAGGGGACTAACTAACAAACCCGTACACTGACTCTGATGTAACTGTTTGGCGCCAGCACAAAGGGCGGGCTTAGCGGAAAGGAGGAGGATGAGGAGCCAGGAGAACTGCACACTTTTATTTCTCTCTCTCTTCAAACAGTGAAATTGTTTACATGTGGAAGACGTTTTATTGCTTTAGAATTGATTCAAGTGGTATTGAATTTGTTCCTTCATGTTATTGCAGTCATTAATGCAGATTCTTGAGGGCTTTCTCTTGTGGCTGGATACGGAAGGTTAACAGCTGGCATTTTGATGATCCACATGGCAAGTGTCTTTCCCTTTTTTCACTCTCCTTTTCTCTAACCCCAAAATCTCTCCTTTCTCCCTTCCTTTCCTTACTCCCAATATGTTCTCTTCCTTTGTTTCTCTTCCTCTGCCCCTCTCTTTGCCCATTTCACCAAATCGCTCTTCTTTCTGGGAGGATTGATGTGACTAACTACAGTGCACTACTGAGGACAACATCTAATTTGTTCATCACTGGATCAAGCAAGTGATGGGTTCTTGACTTGTTTCTATTGGACGCGACGTTGGGCCTGATTGGATCAGGACACTGAGTCGGAATATGCTCAGCTTGAAGCCCTGCACTCTTGGCCCTGCCCCTGCAGAGACTAAACTGAATGAACATACTTGAAGAGCTGTGAAACTGCTCAGACTTTCAGTGCTTCCGTACTGTTTATTAGTGACAATGAAATGAAATGTTAATTTTTTTAAACAAATAAAAATGCTGTTTTAAAAATGAAGGATTGACTTGTCATTGAGTCAACATCACCCAGTTTCTATTTCAACCTCATGTTTTTGTTGTGTAGCAAATATTACCTGTATTGTCAAGCTAGTCGAGTGACCGCTCTAACAATGTCCTCAAAGATGGAAGGCAGGCGGGACCATTCTAACCAATGAGAGGGCAGATACAGATATAGAACTAATCTGTATCTGTGACAGCTTCAATGGCGTTGCCTATGGTCTCCATGTTAAAGTATTCCATTTTCTCCAATGGCAGATTTCTCCCAACTCAGGAATTCCCACCCAGTTGACTACGTTAAAATAGTGGAAGACCTCCATGGCAATGTCCATAAGTATCACAACAGACACAACTCCAATATGTAGTTGTCAGTTGCAGAAATGCCTCGTGCGTCACTCTGCATAACCTAACAAATACAACAACAAAAAATTCGATCAAAATAAGCCCCACGTAGCAAATTGCCAATTATTTATTGACCAAATTTGACTCATTGACCCCCATACAAATTCCTCACGTCGTGGACAGATTCTGGGCAGAGTAAAACCTGGCTTTGTCTCTTCCCGTGTATCCTTTTTCAAATCCAGGCCTTGAGGTCCACAGCATTAATGATTTATTATTCTCCTTAGGGGTGGTTGAGTAGAAGCTGGTTAAACCTCCAGGGAATAAAGAACCAGGAGCACCACCGGAACCGCAATGCTCTGTTTTGGGTACCTTTGATCAGGAATATCAAACTGTGTCCACAAGGTGGTGCAAGAACTAATTTGGTATTCAAACTGAAGTGGTACAACATGTTGCATTGCACCATTTAGGGCACTGACCCATAACAGAATAGTTTAATAATTTCCCATGGCTTCATAGTTATGGGAAATGTTAGTTTGAGATGGTTAGTTCTAACTGTACAGAAAGACTGCTGCTACCACAAACCAGCAGGACCAAAAATGCCACGGTGAAGAGAACAGCGAAAGACCAGTATAAGCCGTCCCTCAGGAGACTGGTACCAAGATGTCATGTCCAGTGTGCCGGGCTCTGATTGGTCTCAGCCATGTGTACACTCACTGTACCAGATTATCCCAATGCATCGTGTCATGGTCATCAACCTATGATGGACGAACAACGAAGTCCTGACTGTATAGAAAACACCTTTGCCATCAATATTTTCCAGGGACAGGGGAGTCACTGTCCTAGTGATACAAGTAACCTGGCAGAAGAGGGTACTCATTAAGCAGGTATAAGAAACAACTTTTTAAAAAAGCATCAGTGAATCATTAAACATCTTCACAAACCCCTAGCTACCATCAACGCTTTTCTACAGGAAAAGTGGAGACTGCACAATTACATTTTACAGCAGCCAGGTCTACACTTAATACCACAAACAAGAACTTCAAAAAACAAACTGCTTTATTCAAAAACATACAAAGTGAATCTTTAAAACCAACATTTGGATAAAAGGAGTGCAGTCATTCTGCTGCTGCCCTCTTGCCTCGTTTCCCTGTGGTTTTAGCTTCAGGAGCAGCATTGTACCCTTCATCACCCTCTGCAGGCTTCTGGGAAGCTTTGGCCTTTGCACCCTTCTTGGCTGCTCCTTCACCCTTGGCAGCTTTGGTAGTCTTCTGTGCTTTGGGTTGATCCTCAGCTGTCCCTCTGCAGGCCTCTTCGACCTGGGCTTCTTAGCAGGGGACACCTTGGAAGCAGATGCTTTTGCGGCCTTCCTGAGTTCTGCATCCTGAAAGATAAATGACAGGTTTGCCAGACAATCACCCATTGAACATTTTAGGTTCATTTTAACCATAAAGCCCAAATAGGGAACAGTACCCATTATGACAAGTATTACAAAAATTCCCTATACACCAAAACCCCTTGAACAATGCCAATAGTCAGAACATAACTGAAACCATACCTGCCTCTGAAGGTTTCTCCTTCTGCTTTTTCTTCTCAGCTCCAAGAGACAAGAGTTAGCAATGTATATAGACATGCCTACGCATGCAATCATGGACACCATGAGGAGAAGTGAGATACCCATACAAGTAATTGAATGAGCAATGTTAAATGCCCTCCATTGCAATGGGTGTAGCTCAATAACAATAATCCCATACAAGTGGGCAGACTATAGGGTGATCATAAAACTCTCAACCACAAATGCAGGGTTTTTGTAATTAAACTTTGTGCAGCTGTCAAAAACTTACAACAAAAGGTCAAAGATAAATATTTTACTCAGACAGACATGTTAGTCAGTTGGTTTTAAAAATCAAATTGACGCGAATAATGATACAAAATAATATCTGTTAAAGACATAGCTTTAATGACTGATGTGGTTCTCTGTAGCCCAGCTGGTAGAGCACGGCGCTTGTAATGCCAAGGTAGTGGGTTCGATCCCCGGGACCACCCATACACAAAAAATTTATGCACGCATGACTGTAAGTCGCTTTGGATAAAAGCGTCTGCTAAATGGCATATTATTATTATAAATGATTCTGAATGTTCAGCCCCCCTGTCCTCTGCAACATTAGCCCACACTTGCCATATGAGACATCTGTGGTTTTCCTGTGAACAAGCTCCACATCTACTTCTCTATTGAAACATTTATTCTATGTCCCAGTCACAGCCACCATATTCTGTGAAGTCAGACTAACAGTATGTATGTAGCTCTCTAAAAAATGGCATTCTTCATCCCTGATATGGCTGGTCATCTGTTTTTGCTCATCCTCCTTTTCGTTGAGTTATTCCTCCATTCCAAATTCCATCATCTGTTTGTGCTACAGGATAGTTCTCTTCTTCTCTCCCCTCTTTTAGTCTTTTACTTTAGGAACTCTTGATATTTCTACATTTTATGGTTATAATAAGTGTGTCTTATTCCATTGATCATCCTATTGATAAATGTTTCTCTGTCATTATTTTACATTTTGTTCAGCTAAGAAGGACCACTTCTTGATAACATGGCCGTGAATGCATTACAGGCTATTCTGCTTCGCCAACTTGTGTAAAGTGTTCCCCTCTCATGTTTTCTTTTTTTTCATAATGGTAAAAAGAGCATGATAATGACCCATTTTGTTATTTCTAGATACCTTCCAATACATCAAAGGCCAAGGTCAGTATCATTATTCTGAATTTAAAGCTGCAATATGTTATTTCTTGGGCTACCAGACAAATTTCACATAGAATTGTGAGTTATAGATCTGTCATCTGCATTGAAAGCAAGTCTAAGAAGCGGTAGGTCTGTTCTATGTGCGCTATTTCTATGCTTCCCGTTTTTAAGTTTAGTTTTTGCTTCTTTTACTTTCTGTTTTGTACACCAGCTTCAAACAGCTGAAAATACAATATTTTTGGTTATGGAAAATATATTTCACAGCGGTTTAGATGGTTCAATGATTCTCTACACTATACTTGCTTGTTTTGTCACAAACTGAAATTAGGCGAAATAGTAGAATTTTAGCAACCAGGAAATGGCGGAGAGATTTCTGTTTAGTGCATCTTTAAACTGGAATGATTTTCAATTTTAACAATTCAGTTAACTATTTTTACAAAATAATATTACCACCAATCAATCAAAGTGATCTTTATCCAATGTAAATCAAAACGGCAACTTTGTCGTTCTAATTACCTTGCTAAGCTCAAATACATAACTTTAGAGACTCTTTTGTCTATTATAAAACATGTTGTTGTGAATCTGGATGGCCAGATTGCTAGCCAGAATGACAAGAAACTGCCACGTGGGGAGTCATAAGTGGCTTGTTTCATCTTGTTATTGATACCATGTCTTGTTTTGAGGTGTTTTGACGGATTTCATGTCATTGCTAATATGGCAAAAATGCGCTAGCTAGCTAACCAAAAACTGTACCTTAACGATGTATTTGAGAGACAACAAGCGCTCATTGTGCAAATTAATTTATATTTTCAATAAACATTGGAGACGAAATACAATTGACATGTTGTTTCTATAGAGATAAATAGTGATCACGTCTTTTTGTAGGCAATAACTCCGCAAATGGTTCGTTGGACAAAGCCTATGAGAAAATGTGTGGCGATACTGTCACGATCGTCGGAGGAAGTGGACCAATGCGCAGCGTGGAATGAGAACATACTTTTTTATTTCACCACACGAACAAAACAACAATACGATAACGTGA